AGAAGAAATTTCTGCTGACAAAAGAAAACGTGAATGGGTTGTATATGAAGACAGCATCAGCAAAAGTAGAAAAATAGATCATGTGCAAAAGAAAAAAGAGGATAGTGTACTAGTAGAGTACTAGGAAAACAAGGAAAATGCAGAAAGAAATGAGGAGATAAGAAAATGCGAAGGCTGTACAATTAATAAAGAGAAAGCATATGAAGTTTGCAGAGCTTGGCAACCAAAAAGGAAAGTCTTAGGTGTAATCCCAAAGAACTCAGTAAACAAGAAGTCAGACCAGATAGACTTTTCACTAAAAACATTAATTGCAAACAAAGTTGAGTCTCAAGGAGTAGTGAGAAATGAGCTAGCCTTGGTTGAACTAAGGATAATTGAAGAACGTGAGTCTGAGATAATAGAAGCACAGAATCTGAATAAAGAAATAGTTGCAATGTTGAAGGAGAAAGCACAAGAACTAAGATCAAGAAAAAGAGGAGAAGTAGATTTTTATATGGACAGTTCCTTAGGTAAAGGAGGAGAGAAGGGAATTATGGGAGTAGGTTGAGTAGGAATAGATAGAATAAATCATAGTTTAGCTAGCATAGGGAATTTTAGAGTTGTCAACTGGCCAACGTCAACAAAAGCAGAATTATTAGGAATTTGGATAGTGTTATTATTAGCAAAATGTAATATAATAGTTAGGGTTCTCACAGATAGTGAACAAGCAATAGAGAGCATAATGAGAGCTTGCAATACTAAGCAGTATAGCAGATGGATTAGAATAGATAATAGGATAATCCTGGAAAAAATAGCAATACTCATTTAGCAGAAAGGTATAGAGCTCGAGCTAAAAAAGGTTCAAAGTCATGCTAACGACGAATAGAATAATGAAGCAGATCGATTAGCTAAGGAAGGAAGAAGATCACGTATAACTCTTGACTTGAACAAAAGCATAGAATATAACTAGAAAAGTCTATAGCAAAGAATCAAAAAAAGAAAAGGAATAAATTGCCTTTCAATGAAAGATAGCAGAAGTCTAGTTATGCAGATCAAGTATTTAACAAATAACTTACCAATACTTAGTGAACTTATAAAGCGTAAGCCAGAGCTATATCAAAAAGACTATTATATTCTATGTAAGGAAGAAGTTCCAGAAGACTTTGACTACTTAATACGTTGTTCAGCCCTGCAAGAGTCCTAGAAAGCGATCAAAGAGGCAGTCTTAGAGAGTATTAGCAGAGTTCAAGCTGAGGAAGACCATAAAATACCTCTACTACTAGAGATTAAAGAAGTCATTTTTTCAAGAGATAGAGAGAGCAAGTACCAAAGAAGAAAGAAGCTATTGAGTGGACTAGAAAAAAAGAAAATGGCTAGTGATCTTTAAGCATTAGTTTAGGAAAAAGACATAGTGAAAACTTGAATAGATAGTATCTTTTTTATTATACAAAGAAGCTTTGTAGTAATAATATGGAACTGGCGATGCAAGAAAGTTATTCTATAAGAAAAGTAAGAAAGGATTATGACGAAGTTAAAAAGAAGTATAGCGAAAAGAAAGGATCTAAACATGAGAACCCTAACAGAGGAGGAAAGGAAATCAACATATGCGGAAAAGAAAAGGGAAAGAGGAAGGAAAAAAGATTGGATAGAAGCGTTAGTGAAGGGAGTGGTTAGCGAAGGAATAAAAGAAGGAGAAAGAATTTGGTGGAGTTTTCTTTGATTTAGTTAGACATAATTGTTCTAGCTATATGGCCAGTGCGACAGGTCACACCTGAGCATTCTAGTAGCAGCTAGGTGATGTCAAGCTTAGGAAATTAGATAGATTTTTTTTTAATTATATGTAACTTGGCTAAGGCCATGGTTGACAACTTAATAAAGTTTATGACATGACTGTCAAAGGAAAAAAAAAATAATAATAATTATCTTAAAAAAATAATTCTAACAAGTCTAAAATTATTAAAATTTGATTACAAAAACATAAAATCAATTAAAATTTTTATAAAAATCAAATTAATTTATTTTCATAAAAATAATATATAAATTTTAATGATTTTATAACTTTATAATTAGATTTTAACTTATTAAAATTATCTCTTTAAAGCAATTATTTTAGCAATAAAATTATTAAAAATAACTAGTTTATCAAATTATTTTATATTAATTTTTAAAATAGTATATTTTAATTAAATGATATTACTGTATTATCTTATAAATTAATGATTAGAATTGCATAATTCTAATACTATTAGATTCATCTTAATAAGATGAATCGAATAGTACCAAAATTATGTAATTTTTATCAATAGTTTCTAAGATATTATTAATACAGTATTAGTGCATTAATTAGATACTATATCAAATTAAAAATATTTTTAACCAGATTTTTTAATTAACAATATCTAGTAATCAGAATTGGTCAATTTTGATTCGTCTTTTCGAGATAAATCGAATAGTACCAAAATCATCGACCTACCTTAGATATTATTACACAAATTTTCCAGACAAATTTGCCTGAAATAGACTATAGATTAAGGAATAATAAAATTAAGATATTTATAGGCAATAGTTAACATTAATCACATTAATCACTAGTCCAAATTAAAAATATCCTAAAAAAAATATAATAATAGCTATTTAAAAACTGTAAACAATTAATTTTTTACAAATATAAATAATTATAAAACCTTCGATATAAGAAAAACTACGGTAATTAAAAAGGTTTAAGCCAAAACAAATTCACTTAATACTATAAGCTCTTGATATTAAAATCTTTATTATTGTTTCAAGATTTACTGTATGTTTTTTTTTATAATCACGATAATAATCACGATAATAGTGATTACAAAGAGGGTTGACTTAAAACGATTACAGTAGCGGTAGTAAAATTTTACTATTGTGGCCAGTATTACCAAATTAAGAAATTTCGATGTATTACAATATACGCGTCAAATAAACAATGCGTGATTATCACATATCAATTATATAACAATCAAAACAAATATAAAAAGTAATAGATTTGGAATAAATAATAAATAGACGTATCTTATATTTTTCTCCCCACTTTTAAATTTTTTTACACTTACATTATTTACATTCAATTATAAATCACATTTACGTTTTAAGAATATCATGTCTTCTGCCGATAAACTTGATTCAACTGGGAGATCTCGTGTACGAGCTTCCGAAACAACTCCGGCAAAAATTGGTTCGGAAGATACTGGTGGTAAGACTAAAGTCAAACGCGGCGCTAAAACTGGTCCAAAGAGCTCTTCAAAAACCTCCAAAAGCTTCAAAGCTGGACTTACTTTTCCAGTTGGTCGTATGGGACGACTTTTGAAGAAAGGACGTTATGCCGATCGTGTAGGTGCAGGTGCACCTGTTTACTTGGCGGCTGTTATCGAATATTTGACTGCCGAAGTTCTTGAACTTGCTGGTAACGCTGCACGTGATAACAAGAAACAAAGAATTATTCCAAGACATTTGCAGTTGGCCATACGTAATGACGAAGAACTAAACATCTTGCTGAGACACGTCCATATCTCCGAGGGTGGTGTACTTCCAAACATTCATGCTGAACTTCTTCCTAAGAAGAAAGGTGAAAAAATCAAGTCAAGCACAGAACCTCCAAAGAAGCCAAAAGCAAAATCATCTTCTCAAGGGGCAAAAACGACCGCTGCTGCTTCTTCTTAATTCATTATTTGAAAATAGATTATTTTGTTCCATTGTTTCAGTCATTTATATTTTGTAGTTATAAGTGTTTATATCAGTTTCATTTATTCTACATTTTTGATTAAATATATTTTTTTATTTGTTTATTTCGAAGGAAAATTTTATACAATAAAGGTTCAAATGACTTGAATTGATATAATCATGTGATAACAGAATTAATTAAAGTTTCAAACTAAAACTTGATTTTTAATGTGTCGTTGACGAGTTATATCAATAATCAGTCATATCAAATATATATATGTTACAATACTAATAACGTTTTATTAAATGCCCATCATGTATTTTTAAATTTCTATATTTTACTGTAAAAAAAAAATTATTTTGATTTTAAGTCTACAATTGGGATTTTTTACCGTACCTTCACATTTATTTTATACGAAAGTGAGTAGAAATAAACATATAACCTTTTGATGAATATCTAATTAGTAGAGACAAAAACGAACGTTCCAATGTGCTACTATTTGAAACATTACGGTCAGTTTTGAAAAAAAAAAAAAGATTCACTCAGTAATTGCATCCAGACTATATTGAAATTTTTTTAACAAAACATTTTTATCTTCTAAGCCTATGCTCACTCGAACGAGACCTGGTTCAATACCGTAACTTGATACCCAATCTAATTCAGCATAATGTGCTAAAATTGTATAAGGACATGCTAAAGTGAAATTAGTACCAAGTGATGGTCCTTTCGCGACTTCAAGTGAATCAAAAAATTGTTGAGACGCAAGATCTGAATGGAAAGTAACTGAAAATAATCCACCAAATCCACCTTCAGCTGTCTTATATTGAAGGTAAATGTCCGGTGTAATATATTTTGGATAATATACTTTTTTAACTGTTATTCATATTAGCATATAAAAAATAATTATTAAATATATTTTTTGATATAATAATATTTATAATGCACACTGACCTTTAGGGCTATTTATAAATAATTCACATATTTCCTCCGTAGTTTTGTCGATTTTCATGATACGTTCTCTGAAAGTTCTAGAGTTACGCTCAAGAAAGATTGCATCTTCCCCCCAAAGAATGTCTTCATATTCATTATTTATGACTTTTTTCAGCTTTTCATAATAGCGTCTTTGAGGATTCAGGACCAATCTTTTCACAAAAAAAAGAAAAATATATATATGTATATATATATGCGAAAATAATTAATTCATTAATCCAATATTATATATGAAAATAATTAATCGATCCAATATTATAATTACCCTCCTCCCATGACATTACTATCCCCACTAAAAATTTTGGTTAAGCTTGATACTATAATATCTGCCCACTCGAAAACTTTAACATTGACATAATTTCCGATCGTATCATCTATTACAATTGGAAAATCATACTTGTCCGCAAGAATTCTAAGACGTTTCAGATCTGGTGATTTACATAATGGATTACTCGGAAATTCACAAAATAGTGCTAAAACCTTTTCTCCTGATTCAAGAAGATTTTCGATCTCATCTATTTCTGATGATATTCCATTTCCATAAAAATGGTACCCAGGTCCAAACTTTTGCAAAATTTTTAAAGTATCAACATATGCAAATCTACAAATTTAAATTTATATCATTATTGTCCTAAATAAGCATTATAAATATGATATTAATACATACCCAAAACAGATACTCTTTCTCGGAGAAAATGCTTTCAGCAAAAATTGGTGCGCATGAAAGATTGAGCTCATTCCACCTGGGAAAAGAAAAACGTCTTCTTCTGTTACTCCTCTTACTACATCCTTACTTTCTTCGACTCTAAGGCTGCTAGCAATTCTTCGTCTAAGTTCAAATTTTGCTTTTTCAATAAATGATGTAGGTAAATTACGACCATAACGCTCTTCAACATAAAAGTTCTGTTCAGCAATAATAGAGTTGCTGGTCGACATAGTATCGGTGGATAAATTCCCCTTAGATTCACAAGCCACATTCCAGCCGCTTGATGTTTGTCTACTGAAATATCTTTTACAAAATGAAGCTCTTTTTGTGGAATCTCTATAAATATTTTCTGTGTACTTTTCATCGCACTTCGTTTGCAGCATATAAAGTACATATTCGGCCAAACGAGAACTAATACCATTTCCCGTATGTTGCCAAAAGGTCTTTGCCACTGAAAATGCTTCTTTTGGAAAAAGAAGCACATATAATGTGACATTACCTAGAATTGATTGTTTGCTTCGATCTGATGTCACAATTGTGATTTCGGCTAGACGAAAACTAGTAGGCTTACTAGGCTCATAATATCTACGTAAGTAATCTCGACAACACTCAGCAGTTTTGCGACTAGGAAAGAGTAAACATGTTTCGGATGGTTTCGCAAATTTTTGATCACATATCGAATTTAACTGCACGAGAAATCAGTAAAACTGTTTAATTTTTCGTGTACATATTATTATACAGTGTCATTTTATAACATACCTTTTCGACTTGTTTATTAATAAAAAACCTTGGATACCCTGTCAACATTCGGCTTACTACTCTCTCACGACCTTCTTCGTAGTCTACATTATCTTGCCAAGTTGGTAATGCTACAGATATAGCATGAGGTATGTTTGGAATGGGACAGCCAACTTCCGTTGGAGGATTTGAATACGAAGTTGCATGCATGCTTCTATAGATCAAATACATCTCGATATTAAAAATTTTTTTTATTAAAATAAATATATGGGCCTGCAAATTACCTATTTTTGTGGCCCGGCCCGGCCCGCACTTAGTTTTAAAATTTTTTTGTCGGCCCGGCCCG